CAGCGATAATATTAGGACGAGAGTGCAATGACCACTGTTATGCGACCCAAGTAGTTGCTTCTCCGTGTGTAGAAGCACACCGATATGACTCTCCTTTACGCTTCGTTACCGCCTACCCATGTATCTTGTAGTCTCCAATATTTAGAGCTCTTTTGTTTGACCCAGTCAAATAATTTGGTGCGATGTCTCAACAGACGAAAATGATTTTAACTATAAATAAGCGCAGAAGCAGTGCGCGCGCAGCAACGGTTAACAGTTCTCAACCACGAACAGGCTGAGTCGATAGCGTGCTATTGCCATCTCGTCTGCATGCAATCTCACGTTGCTAGTTCAATTTCTTGGGTCAGGGAAAGGCCAGTGGTGTCTTTCAGGTGCTTAGTCATGTCAGCTTCTATCAGCCATGACTGTACGGCAGAAGGTGTGAGGTCCGGAAAAACGTTTCTTCAGGGAAATTCTTCGTTAGCGGAAGTGGCCTGTGGAAATAGCTTCTTCGAGTCTCTTTTAATGTATAGTGATGTGTGTCATCTAGTTAAAGGAGCGATGTAACAACATTTGTACTTTCAATAAATACTGCTTATAAGTTTTTGTTAATATTTGTCATCTATCAGACAAGCGTTAGTCGTTGTCCACTGAAAGCCGTGGCAGAAAAAAGGAACAGTGAAACGAGCGGTGATTTCTCTTTAAATTGCAGCCATAAAAGAGGACACGTGATGTAGAGACGATTATTTGTCCCTAATGTTTATCATATACTCTTGTTCGGGTCGAGAAAGCACAGGTCCCGCGCTGAGTTCCTTACAGTGTTAAGATTCGGCTATTCCCGCCATCGCAGCCATTGCATGTCTAGACAAGTCTAGCCATCGATTGCCACGAGCTGAAATCAAGTGCTTACGTAGTGCTCGTGTCCACTGTATGAGCTGCATTTTAATATTGGCACTGCGGGGATTGTAAACCTTGATGATAAAATCCTTTCGATTGCATGCCGATAGTGCTAATAATGCGATTCCCAATACTTCGTTATCAAGTTTTGCGAATGACAGATTGAAAGAAAAGGTCTGCTTTTAACCTTGATATTACGCAGCGACAAGGACACTTCTTGGTCAGTGGCGTTGCATATCAGTGTGCTTCGGTCCTACAATTTCCAGTAAGCCTGTCGAAAGTGAGAAATCTCATACCCAACATTGTTTTACAACCCCTTTAAGAGGCCCTCTTTATTAAAATTCAGCTATGCCCTATTCTCATAGGAAATCACAATGAGGAAATTCAAAGGTCAAACTTTAAGGCAATGTCAAAAAGTTTACAAGTTTAAGCAAAAAATTTACAGAGAAAGTGACTGTTTTCTTATTTGTTTAGAGAACATGCATGTCCATTGAATTTTTATTTACAACACTGCTATGACAAGACGTCCAACCAACGTTTGCTCAAAGCCATGTGCTTAGGGTTTCTGGAATCTGGTGCACTCAGGCATTTTTTTTTATGTTTCTCTTCATTATCATCGTTTTGTTAAACGATTGCCAGAGACTCGTATTCCTTTTTATTGCGCAACGACGGTGTAGCCAAATACTGCCAATACTAGCGAACTAGAGGTCTGGGGCGAAGCAAATTTAAATATGAACAGTGGGGAATAAGGAAAAACAGTTACTGTTGATCACCCAAGATCTAGTGTCTAGATACTGCAGGCAATATTTCTCTATAGCAGACTCCTATGCATGGGTGGGCTGGTGCACAATGTTTCTGTAAGGCTGCAATTCTGGTCTTTGAATGAAGTTTTACCCCTCTGGAGTAACAGGCCATTTATTTGTTCCCTAGAAATTCCGTTGCTTGCAGCCATTTTATAGGTTCTTGGTGTCAAGAAGACCGAAAGTATTGTTTAATGCATTTGAATGCAGAGTAAACATATTTGATGGCTGCAGTCAATGCAATATGTAGCGGTTTTGTGAACATAAATAAATTTTGTTTAGGGGCCTTAGCGTTAAAGTTTCAGTGGGGCTTAAACGACTACATGAGGTTCGTAAATCAACACTCCAATTTGCTGTTATTCGCCTCTGGCAAGCACATTCCAGTGTTAGGAGCCCATTATATTTTTTCATGGCGCCATATGAGAGTACCTTTCAAAGCGGAAAATCTTTTGTTTCCTATCTTAGTAGTTAGGAAGGAATAATTGCCTCGAAATGCAGATAACAAGATTAATTATTCTAAATTAAGACCCATTTTGTTCGGCCTTCATCTTATGAGTGAATTGTTCTATAACCATTTGCAGGCATTGCACTGAGGCATGAGCGATAGAAACCTGGAGGTAGCCAAGTCGTCAAAGTAGATAAGACGGCTGATTCAGAAACCATACCAACTACGGTTCAAGAGGCCAGGGTACCAGGACGACTGACTGAGTAAGCCGCTAAGCCTTCCCGAAATTGAAGTGTTATTCTAGTAGAATGCGGTAGCTTTTGAATTCAGACAAATTTATTTGATGTCAAAATTATATTGTAGCTCATGAGTTGGCCGGGATTACACCAGGACACACTGAACTGGGATCACGAAAACACAAACGAAATCGGGTCACGTCATACCGGTTAACGTCGGGATACAGCAGAACATAAGACCTTGACAGGATTTCTGCTCTGGCGCATATCTCAGAACACAACACTCGGTCACACGAGGACACACCAGGACACCACAGCAGCGTATCAATTTTCGCTTTGGTGCAGACGTTTGAAAACACCAGACTCTGACACGTGTTTTTTTTTTTTACTGGGTTCGCACACATTAGCTGAAGCACCACCTAAAAGATTCATGTAAGAGAGTGAAAGACAGACTGAAAACATATTTGTATTTGTGATCGCTTATTAACGTCGCCTTCATATAACTTACCCTCGAGGTTATGCTTATCGATGTACGTGCCCTGATGTTGCGATGGCGGCGTCTGATTTATTGCATAAGACGGTAATAAGCAACCGTTATTTTCATAGCTCGATCAACCTAGTTTTGCCTAATCATTTTGAGGTTACAGACTAATTTATTTTTGTGGGGCCCTCAACTGCGAAAGCTCCGAAAATGTTCTGACAAAAAATGAAAGACCTTTACAACTCCTTGTATTGCCGAATTAGAGAGCTGCTCTTGAGGAGGGGAGAGGAGGGTACGGAGAGAAGGGTATGCCCCTCCTCCTCCCCCGTACCCTATCCTCCTTCTTCCTTCTCTTCTCCTCCTCTCTCCCTCTCCCCCTCCTCCATCCTACTCCTTCTCCCCCGCCCTTCCTCCCCTCGTGACGTCACTCGTGACCCTAGTGACCCTTGTGATGTCACTCGTGAAGGCCTCGTGAAGGTCTTGACCCTCGTCGTGACCCTCACGATTGACCTTCGTGACGTCACTCGTAATCTTCGTGATCGTCGCGACCTCACTTGTGACCCTCGTGACGTCATGTCTAGAGTTATTACGGGAAACATCTCATGATGCGGTGCGCGGTACACGATTGACGTCACTGGTAACCCTCGTGACGTCACTCGCTATCCTTCTGACGTCAAACGTGAGCCGCGCGTTGTATTATGAGACGTTTCCCATAATGACGTCACTCGTGGCCGTCGGTACGTCAATCTTTATTCTCAGGACCATCTTGACGTCACTCGTGACCCTAGTGACGTCGCACGTAACTCACACGACCCTCATGACGTTACACGTGACCCTCTTGACGTCACGTGTGATGTCAATATGGGAAACGTCGCACAATGCAAGCAGCGGGTCACGAGCGAGACCCGCGTGCACAGTTAAGCCGACGGCGACAGCGACGGCGACGCCACTCAAGCCGGAAACGGGCGCCTAAGGTCTGCGCTCTAAAAGGCGCTAAGACAGGCTTCTGTTCAAGTTCAGGAGTAATTGTCTAAGGCAACTTCACCGTGTGAGTTTCTTGGATTTATATTATGGTAAGACGTCATGGCTTTCAGCTTAGCGTAAACAGTGTTTTATGTTTAAAATCTTTATTTTGGTTTTAATGTTTTGATTAAGCCAAGTTCAAATAGTTGAGTATGTTTTACATTATTTTCTTTCTGCTTAAGGGTGTCACCCATCAAAATGATAAAATATTATGTCACGATGCCACAACATTACCAAAAAATCCAGTATAGCTTTTCACAAACTGGATTGTGGAACTGGAAATCGAACTTAAATTGTTTCTCGAAACTTAAAATCCAGATTGAAGACAAAGGAATAATTTCAGAAAAACTGAAATACTGATAAAATCCAGACAGGTTTACAGTTCGATAATTCAAATAGCGAAAGTTATAGTGGCTTTTTCAGTAGGGAAGGCTTTCGAGTTCAACGCTGGAAAAGTAATCCGCAATATTGACTGAAAAGTTTTATATGACACTTAATATAGGAAGCGTGAATCTGCCAAGTTTTAATCTCTCCCAAAAAAAGAAAAAAAAATCATGCCAGCTGACAGTAGTACTCCCTATGACTGAAGTTGGCTTGCTTGTTGGAACAGTTTTCCGAATCAAGGACAAAGTTTGGGCAGCGGAACTCTCATTTCCGGCGCGATGTGGACCTGCAATGCAATGCGCGGGACCAGGATAGATGATGCACGTTTGAGTTCGCTTCTTTTCATGATGCCGAGTGACTTAACGACCCCCTTTAAATCTGTCGTGAGGGTTCGGAAAACACAGTTTGGCGAACTCAATTTTAAAGCCAAATTCAGCAAAATTGCTAAATTCAAATGTTTTCTACTGCCTCTTTTCCCTTTTTTTAAACTCAGAAGACCGGCTATTTAAAAATGTTTAGAGAAGATTAGACGTGATATGCATTTAGGCACTTTCTCAAGAGTTGTGATTAGACTCGATCACCGACATCTTTGACCGATAGTGAGACGATAAGAACGTTACGATCTTGAAATAACAAATAAACTGAAACTATCTTATACGATAACACGCGAAAATATCACGTATATGATATTACAAAAGGAAGCTCTCACCGAGAGGTTCGAGAGGTCAAAACGCGACAGCTCCACCTTCGAACCAACGCCGCCGTAAAAGCCGAGCCTGGACTCCTCGCAAGTCCTCTTTGAAGTCCTGATCGAAGCTTCGAGGTCTCGTCAAGCAGACGTCGTCTAAGCCGAGCAGAAAAAGGGAAAAAAAAAGAGTGCCTTCACAGAGATCTTTTTAGAGCAGCCGCCTCGCGAGGGCGCTCCGTCGGCGAGCGCCGAACCCGATATTCCACCGACGGGGCTCCCGCATCGATTCCCGGGCCCTTCGCGCGCGGAGGCAGTGGGCGCTCGGGGTTCGGCCGGCACAGCGTGTTCTTCTGCCCCGGCACTGGTGGCCCTGCGGAAGCGCGCCGTGTCCCGCGCTGGGTTGCTGAGCGACGCATGCGGCTGGTGATTTTATCGAGAGCAACAGCCACTGCTGCCGCGGTCGGAGCGTCTCGGAGGCAGGCGAGTCGGCGATGGGGTGTAGCGGTGACGGCGACGTGCGTTGGAGGAGGAGCGGGCCCATCGTGGGATCCTCGTTCGTCGCGCTGTGCGTGGTGGTGTGTGCTGTGCTGGTTCAAAGTCGGATACAGGGGCCTGCCAACAAGGAGATGCCCTACGGTGAGTGTCCCCTTCTTAAGACGACCCCCTTTTTTTTTTTGCCTGCAAAGAGAAATATTGAAGTGTCCGTCGTTTTGGTAGATAAACCGAAAATACTTTTTTGAACTGTAGAAATTGAAGTTTTTACTTCAATTTCAAGTTAAAGAGTTTACTATATTTGGACGTCACAAAATGTGTGGTAATGTTTAAAGTGCCTAAATGTTTTGTCTCTTGGCAAGTGTTAATTAATTTCGCATACTGTATGTACTTCAGCTCCATGTAAGTACGTTGACTCCTCACATGTTCGGCCGTTGCGGCTCTCATCTGTCCCATATCAGTAGATGTCTTTCAGATTATGTTTAGTTGGCTTGTATTGGTAGTTTAAAACTAATTAATTTGCTCAAGATGTAGAAGCTCCGTAACCGTTCCGAAATTAGAGATATGTTTTGCCTATACACATAATACTTTAGATATAGGAGAGTTATATTTACTTCTACAGAATTTTCTACTTTACTTCGCGCGTTTTATTTTGCGCTAAAAGGAAATTAACTTAAAATGCCCTTGAGCTCGCACTGATAATATATTTGCTTTTATTTTTAGACCGCTCTCTTTTCAAACGTCTATACCGGAATCGCCTCTATGACTCTTATTCTGATTTTTTTCTCCCTTATATTAATTTGAATGATTGTGTATATTAACCATATTAGTGAACGGGAAGTACAACTTGCAACCTAATGTTAATAAGGGCCTGTGGTTTATATTGTGAAATAGATCGGAAGTATAAAAAAAAGCCACACGTGAGATGAAAAGAAAACATTTCCTGGGGTGTATAGTAAGAGTTTGGATGTGCAGGATTTATGTGAATCTTAATTATATGTGAAACAATCTCTTTATATCACCTTGTGGAACATTCCTGTATTTGTATCAAGATGAATTCGCATGCGCGTGAGTGAGATAAATATATTTATTGCTAAGAAATAGAGAAAACCTCCAAACTTCCTCTAAAAAGTGTTGTGCACAGAACCCCAGGAATTTGATCACGACGTCCAGACACTTGCAAGGCGGGGGGGGAGGGAGGGGAGGGAGGGAGGGAGGGGGGGGAGGGAGGGAGGGAGGGAGGGAGGGGAGGGGAGGGGAGGGGAGGGAGGGAGGGAGGGAGGGAGGGAGGGAGGGAGGGAGGGAGAGGAGGGGGAGGGGATGTAACCTATGAAACAAGATTTTTTTTATGTGTCCTCTCCTCGCGCGCAAGTAGGAGTTGCAGGAGGTGCCTTTGTCATATGTGCCCCAGTCTTCACAATACCTCCTAAGATGAAATTATGAGTGATGAGGAGAAAGCTGCAATGCAGTGGCAATGTCATAACTGTGACCAACTTTATTTTAAAAGATTGTATGTAAATTTTATGCATAAATATCCTTTTAAGAATAAGAATCGTCAGCTTTCATTCCACGGAAGAAAGCCTACAAACAGGACAATAAATTTTGTCGTATCAATGTACTCTGCAGCAAAGCAACGTAGAAACATTAACCCGAAGCTTTTTTTTTGTATATTAAAAAAAAGAGAGCGTGAATTTGCTATTGTTGATGTCCCACAGAAACATCCGCAGATAATGGAGCTTAAAACCAAACTTGCTCTGAACTTGTGTGTGTGTGTTTTTTTTTTTTTTTTTGTAAAACCGGACTTATTATGGTACCTTTTTCATCGGCCCGGATGCGCGCAGCGATAAATTCGTACAATTTAAAATTTGGTTAGGGTTAGGTAATCAAAGGGCATAGCGTTATGTCCATCGAACACCATTCCAGGAGTGATGCCCACCCCTCGCGGTACGAGTGGGTGGTCTGCTCATCTCAGCCGCGCCTCACAAAGTTTAGACGTTTATACTATCCAAATGTAAGTGAAAGTAGGTGATGGCACCGATATGTTTCTGGCACGGAGGTTGAATATACTGGCAGGCGGGTTTTGAAAAGACGGCGGTTGATGTGGTATAATAGGAGCATTAACCCGTGACGAAGATTGATTTGCATATTACAAGAATATATTAGACGCCTGTCGACCGCAAATAGTAAAAAAGTGGCTTATTATTTTATCTTTTTAATTTCAAAACATGAAGTGCTTTGTAACGGTACTGATAACCCCCCTCCCCCCTCTCAAAATGTTGTGTGTTCGTCCGTCCGTCTGTGCATGCATCCTCCGCTAATTTTAGCAGAGAAAGTGACGTAACGTAACCTGAACACCTTTTGATAATTGAAGACACGTGACCTATAAGTCAACTCAGTTTCGCCACTAGCGGGAAAATTTGCGTTTTGTTGCCAAAACACAGATTCAGTTTTCTCGCGAAATGTAGCGGGAAAATGATGTCACGTGACCTATGCACCAATCCAATTACGTACTAAACGTAGCGCTAACACTCACGTCTTGTGAATTAGACACCAATCCAGTTTCCCTGCTAAATTTAGCGGGGGAAATTCACGTCACGTAACTTGGCATCACGTGACCCTTACAACCATTCAGTTTCCACGCTAAATTTAGAGGGGAAAAATAAGACACGTGACACACCGATTTGCTCACTCCATCCCTCTCCTCGCTTCCCGATAACCTTAGGTGACGTGCTCTAGCATTTCGTGCACTATAAGACTGTAAAGATAAAGGTCGCCCCCAAATTTCTTCCCCCTCCGTGTCTCCCATTTTGTGGGTGAGGAACTTGTTTTTGAGCTGCCGCCAGCATGTTGAGAGGCTGCAGAAAAGGTTGATTTTCCGGTTCGGGTATTTTTATTCCAGGTTAATCAAGACGAATGTTGTAAAAGCTTAAAAGAACATTGTGACGTAGTAGCTCTGGATATCTTAGGATTCAGTAGCCGCAAGGAAAATTACACGAAAAAACTAGGTTTTAAGATTGGTTACAGTATTTATTGTTGTTACTATATTGGTACGAGGAATGGCGACACGCGTTTTATTTCAAACAGTGCATAGTGAGGAATGCGACAAAAAAAATGCATATGTCACCTACGTATTCAATCCGCGCTTACTATAAATAAAGAATACCGAAAATGGTTTGTCGATTTGTTTTTAGCAGCTTGTGTTGCAGAAAACCACTAATATAAATAACGTCAAGAGTCGCAAATAAGAAGAAAAAAGCTTGGCGACTTAAAGTTTATTTTTGTCACTCAACAGCGAATCCCGTTTGTCTTCCAAATAAAATCACGTTGAACCTGCCAAAACGCAGGCAGAAGAATAATCTGGAAATTGTTCTTGCTTAATAAGATTTTCATACGAGCAAAATAAAGAAGGTATAAGATTTGTGAACATAAATTATTTGCCTCTCAAGAGCCTTTGCTCTCTTCGGCAGAATACTTTACACGTAACTTTCGATTCAAGGAAACCTTTCTTTCTTTTTAGTACTCCTCCTGTGATCTATTTTACGACAAGCCTCTCTTAAATTGAGAGATGCCGGAGTGCGTGTATATTTCGTTAATGGAAACGCCACGCTCGAATTGGAACGGATGAGTTAATATGCTATATTGTAGGACAAACAAGGGTTTATCGGCAAACGTCACTGCGGCTTACACATCGTTTCACTTCCAAGTATGAGAGCATCCGATGCTACAGTCCGACAAAGCCAATAATAATTCACCGACAAATCGCGCATCGTCACGGCGCTCAGTCTTTTTGTGGCTTTCCCACCACTGTTTAAACAAATCACACCCAAAGAAGAAAAGCATAGGCATAACATCCCAGCGAATTTACTGCGCGTGACTACATAACTTTGCGAAATTCGCCATCCGCGCGTGCCATCTTTATCGGCTGGGCTGTGGAACACCTTCGAAGCATGCGCTGTTGCTCTGTTTTGCGGGAGATCAGACGCTGCTCATGCGTTCCCAGCTCAGTGGCTCAGCCTTTTATGCCCGGATAATTATCGATGCAAAGCTCTAGCAAATTTACATAATATCACGTATGCTATGCCATAACACTGCGCTTTTTTCTCTGCTTGATTAGGTACCTGAATTATGTAGTAAGCAGCGATCGATGGGACTTAAAGTAAACAGATAATGGAATGGTCAGTTTTGGTAGTGAGTATAGAAAAAAACGCTGTGCGTTTGCGTTAACGTTGCGTGTTCCACGCTGTGCATGCACGTCGTTGCCATGCCCCAATCTAATATGCAGTTGGGGTGTCCCGCGCACGCGCAGTGTGGACCACGAAACAAAACCACACACTGCTTGAGTTGGCTTGAATACGTAATAATAAAACTCACCAATAGGGAATTTTCGCAGACTGCGTTACTTCTTTTGCTAAGCACCCTGCAACGAAGAAGCCACTTCTGTGCCTCTAGAGTTGTGCGACACGTAGCGGGCTGGGGAAACCGTCCCGGGACGGAGAAAACGATCTGCGAAAACTCCCTTATGTCTCGCGCGACATACAGGGTGTCACAAAAGAAAATTTACACGGTCTTTTTTAGCGAAAAAAAATAAACTAGGCATTGTCCAACGCTCATTCTCCGCCCAAAGGTCGCGCTAGAGGTCACAACCAGATGCCAAAGTTTCGGCCCGATCCGACTGATTAATCAAAAGTTATGAGTGATTTTCTGAAAATTTCAATGGGAAAATGGTGGCCGACGGAGTTTTCGAACACATGGGGCTCTGGCACCCGAAACCGAAAACGGGCAAAAATGGGCTCCATTTTTGCCCGTTTTACCCTCTCATTTTACTCGGCTACAGCACTTCGTCGGTGTGGCGCCCAGAGATACCGTCACGAAGGCTCGAACCAGGCGTTGTCATCGCTATTTGATATTTTATAAGCTGTTTCTGGTGTAAAATGTCACAAGAGGCACTGTCGAACGACCGAGAACTCAAGTTACAACCGAGTCTCATACTCAAAAGATGAAATAGGTTGAAGAGCGAATTTGTTCATTAGAAGGATTCCACGGATCAACAGAGCCAGAATATTCGCCCTAGCTCAGGCCGGTCACTCTCAGACAGCAATAGTGGCGTTGGCAGGGGTCAGCGCTGGCACGACGCTGACGAACTG